GTATGGATATCGCTTGCTTGATTAGATAGTATAGAAGGCAAGGTATCCATCTGTATCGTGCCTCTCGAATACTCCGTACGGATAGCTGGCTCCGCGAAGTAGTGTCCACGCAGATTGCACATTGTCAAAAAGAGGAGCCGCTTGATCTACTGTGTAGGGGCAGGGTGGGTTGGCCATCTTTACCCATAGTGCTTGGCGGCCGCCAAACAGTGAGACCACCACCAACGGGCAACCTAGGTATTCGGAAGTCTGCGGTTGTTCATTGTCGAGGACCGAGGACATTGCTTTTACCATGGCGGGCCGCGGCTGCGCAATCTGCGATGCTGCATCGTATCAGAGATTTGACACCCAGAAAGGATGCCGATAGGGTTCACCATTCAGCCGAGCTGGTCCACTCACTTACACCCAATTTCAAAAGTCATCCCATCTTTTCTTTCGTTCTTGGTGTGTTCCGGGTCTTGAGGAATATTGGTGTTACCTTGGCTGACACCTTCCCTTTACCTCGACCTCTTTTTGACTTGCATTACCGTCCGGCGCCCCCCTTGTGTTGCAGCGGCGAGTCGTTCCCGTCTCTGTTCTAGAGTTGCCGCCGCCGACCCAACGACACGCGGGAGTCTGCTGAGTCTGCTCAAAGAGAGACCAGAATTCCGTCTGAAGGTCAAAGAGTGTCCGAGCTTTCGAGGCTCGAACGGGGATCCAAGCTCATCACTTCCCCCTCCCCCGCCCTAGTCCTTACTGACTTGTCCGCTTGACTCTCTTCACGGTACACCCGTTTTATTTTTGAAAAGCGGCCCGTTGAAGAGCTCCATTTTGGATCACTGAGGAGAGCAAGAACGAAGCATGGAGAGAGACACCACTTCCTTCTTAGAGGAAACCTTGTAAAGCCGCTGCCGCGCACCAAGGTGTTTGACCTTTCCCAAACGTTCCAGGAGCTTTAACGTTGGCTGGTGGGCAGTAAGGGAAAAAGAGATTTGAGGCAGACGAGGGGCTGGAGGGGAGGCTCCAGGTTGTCCCAGATTCGCTAGCCCGGCGAGCTCGACCGTGCCCTCGATTCTTGGGATGCCATCTGGCATCTCTAGGAGTCTAGTCGTTGTCAAGGAGTGCTTTGGGCAGCTTGCGGTGCTCTCTCTCACACGATCTCTCCAGACTTTCAGTGAAGCGAGATGACGCGGTCACAGGCATGAAATCGTAATACCAGGTGCAATCAATCGCTGACCTTGCTGCTTTCCCCATTGAGATCGGAAGCTGCGAGCGATACTGTGGAGAGCCTGGTCGATAGGTTGAGAATATTGAACTATAGGCATGCTGCATGATGAATGGACCGGACAGCTGGGAAGGCAATAATTGGTGAGGCAAGGTTGATGGTTGTCGGCCTGTGTGTGCCAGCGTAGTGTAGTGGTCATGACGGTGGTGGTGACGACTTGTGGTGTACTGCTAGACAGAAAGAGAGAGAGAGAGTGTGTGTGTGAGTGTAAGGTACCTGCGGCGAGGTACCTCGAGGTTGTGTTGACGAAGTATTTGTTTTGGTGTTTTTGTTTTGTTTTGGTTCCCGGCTGTGGCTTGTCGCGTTTGTTTAGTGGCCTGGCTCCATCGGCCATGGATCAGCCGTCTTTTCTATTTTGATGATGAGCCCACCTTTTTCCCGCTGCCCGACAGGCGGCTCGCCAATGTGGTCACTCGTGTTCGAGACGCAGATAATCTTGTACAGCCCGGGAATGACGAGCTGGAAGGAAAAAGAAGGAAAGAAAAGAAGCGTTCCTGGCTTCTGCTGCGTGCTGATGGAGTCTAGAGTGAACAAGTGGCAGTTGAGTCGTGGCTATGAGACCAAGGGGAAGGGGGCCCCCCCCCTTTGGCACTGCAGTGACTACTGCAGAGTGTGTGACTGCATGTCGGGCCTGGCAAGCTGGATCTTGGACGAGGCGAATAGGCGTGAGGCCGTCTTGGGGGGAGAAGAGATGGGTGCCCCAGAGCTAAGAAGATTCCCGTGTAGGAGGGAGGAGCGCAAGCCTCGTCTGGTCTTGGTTGGAGGATGCGGTGCGGACGCTTACTTAGACGAGATGGATATGGATCAGTCGCGCACATTGTGCATTCTCGCAGTGCGCCAGCCTTGATTGTCCAATACGTCTCCAGAGCGTGTTGATCTCCCTCGTTGTCTTGCCCATATTTTCCTCTGTCTGGAGGAGTCTGGTGAGGTTCGGGCTGCAGGAGACTTCAGACGCGTGGGCGGGACCCTGCAGGCAGATGGAATGATTCAACCAATAGACGATGCTTGCAGACCTCCAAAAGGGCATCCCCCCCGGCACAATCTTGGGGGGTACCCTGGCGTCTTTGGATGCCAGACCGTTGGGTAAGTTGGGTTTAGTGTAGTGATGTCAGGGTTAGAAAGAGGTCGTGGATCTGTGTGTGTGTGTGTGTGTGTGTGTGTGTGTTTGTTGGCTTGTGACTAGTTAGTGAATGGGCATGATAATGAAGGACAAGAGAAACAGACTCGGGCCCAAAGTTGGCTATCATCACGAAGAAGCAAGACAAGTTGGCAGCCTCGAGATTCTTCAGTTGAGACGCTGCATGTCTAGAGCTGGATGATGAGATTTTGTTTTTTTCTTCTTCTTCTTCCCCCAATCCGGGACCTGCATCTGCGACCTTGTGGCTTCCTGAACGACTTCAGCTTGTGGTCTTGCTCTAACAGACCGGATCCACTTTGAGGCGCGTAATCACGTGCCGATCTAGCTAATTTGGGAAATATTGTAAACAACACACGCCACGCGCGCCATCGCGAAAAAGAAGCAGCGACTTCCCAGTGTCCACATCCCACCTGCACGCCCTTTCTGTCTCTGTCTCTCTCTCTCGCTCAGGTCCCGTTCCAGTCTTTCCCGGCAGAGCGCCCAGTCAAGTTTCGCCTTCACCACCTAGAGTAACAAAAAAGTCTCCATCCTGACTACGATCCCCCGGCTTGGATGTGCCATTCCTGCCTGCCCACCCGCCTGCATCGACCATCTTCCTAAGTGTCCCACACACCAAACCCACTCGGCTCGCGCTGCGCTGCACCTTTCGCACTTACACCCGCAAACCCGCAACCCAACCACCACCCACTTCACCCACCCGCTCGCTCTTGACGCACACAACCCGACGCACGCACACACTCACCGCGCATCCTCCTCTTCCCTGAATCCTATTTGCGCCTACCTCTCTCCTACCCTCACAACTTCTTCTATCCCCTTCCCGTTTTGTGCGTTTCGTTGCGTCCATCTCCTTGCCGCGTTTCCAAGTTTTTGGTCCCCTTCCCGACAAACTCACCCTACCTTCCCCCAGGGTCTTTGTCGTTTCGCCACTCGCGCGCGCGCCTCTCATCAGACGACGGGGACGCAACAAGAACCCATCCATCTACCGTCCCTTCATGCGATGACTTGACAAGGTCGTCTGCCGATCCCGAATCGCCAACTGAAGCGGAATGAAGATGCGAAGCAAAACGCATACCTGAACGATCCTGCTCGCTCGACTTGTCCAAACCATCCCCCCTCAGACCTTAGCGCCATGCAGTAGACGCACTTGCGCTCCCGTCCCGTCCCTTCTTTCTCTGCCTGCCTACCTTACGTTACGGTCCTACCTACTCTGGCCTCGCCTCGTCTTGTCCTCCTGCCTGGACCCTCTTCTTCCTCCTTTTCTTTCAGCCTTCTTTTCTGCAACATCGCGTCCACACCCATCATCACACCAAGAACGAGGGCGCCCTTTCCGGCTGACCAGGCCACTTCGCCTCGTCCACGTGTAACCAGTACTGGCATATACACACCTTGGACCCTTAAACACACGTCCAGTCCTATCACCATCTTGGGATAAACCCCACGAAAACAACGACGACACTACTCCGTACTCTCTACCCTCCGCGCCCTGGGACCGCTGCCCTCGCGTCTCGTCATCGTAGTCAGCATCCCTCCGATCGTCCACGGAACGGCAGAACACCACGCGCTCTACCTAGCCCTCGCCTCAACACCTACGGCATATCACCATCGACCGCGCTTTGCTCTACCACCTACCAACACCATAGGTTCATCAGCGGAACAGTATACGACGACGAATACTAGCGACAGATTGTTTGGAACAAGGATTGATTCATTGCTTGCCGAGCACACCTACTGCCTACCTACACAATCACATCACTTCCTACAAGTGAATTTGCTCTTTGTATTTCGACAGCGACCAACAACAACGACAACAACAACACCAGAAGAAAGACAATCAATCATTACGACACCAAGAACACCTTCACCATGTCGTTCTCCAATAGCAGTGGCGGAACACTCACTGTTCCCAGCCCCACACACGTCCATCATGTAGATGTGCTCGCATCCTCAGTCCGGAGCCTGCGAAGGTCCCTTTCCCGATCACCTTCAAAGTTCAGCCTGGCGCGTACGAGTTCCCCCAGCTCAGAGAGCTCACACAGTGGTTCCCATACGCCTGTGCAAGAACAATCGCCCTGCCGACGATACACTCCTACCCCTACGCCTCCTAGCAGCAGCCACAACAACATCAACTTTGGGGATTTCCAGAGCCACACACCAGCCGGGCTCCCTCCTTCCATGACCTCGACAACGCCCTTTAGCTCTCCACCAACTCTCGCCACACCCTTTCGCCCTAGTGTTCGGCTCTCTCTACGCTCGGCAAAATCAGCAAAAGCAACCGGCAGCCCCTCAAGGCCAGCGACTCGATTAAGGACATCGCCTAAATCCCCCCTCAAACGCGCGCTCAACGCTACAACAGATTCGGGGGTAAATTCCACTCCTTCCTCATCTTCAAGCTCGGAGGCCTCGGGCCAGGAAAATAACCAGTCTTCTGCACAACAGAGCCCTCGTTCCCGATCGTCCCTCCAAAAATCATCACGCCATAGCCTTCATCTCGACGTGTCCGGCCACGCTCAGCAGTCGAATATTTTCAAGCACCTGGAAGGTCAGGGCGATTCGCAAGGAGCACCGGGATCGGGCGCTCTCAAGCGTAGCGACGCGATCATGAATCTGGATCAGGCGTCGCTGGGTAGCCCCGTCGCGAAGCGAAGAAGTTTGCACGGTATCTCAAGCTTTGGTCAAAACACATCTGATTTCACCATTTTCGACAACACCAGTAACACGCCGAGCAAGACCAACTTTGACATACACGACGAGGCGAACCGTGAGCGAGAGTACGAGCTCTTTGGCTCGCCAAGCGTTCCTGCCCCCAGAGAGCCACTGCCATCGCCTACCCCGCCTCAGATTCCGAGAAGAACCGGCTCTCTACGACGTTCAACGTTGCAGCAGAGACAGCATGATCGGAGTTCGTGGGGACGTAAGTCTGGCGCGAGCCACTTGGCTCAGATGAGCGGAGATTTCTCAACTCCCAACGTCAAGAACCGACCCCGCCTATCGATGGATCAGTTTCTCCCTCCTCAACTTCCTCGGGACAGCCCTTTCAATTCGAACGGGCCTTTGCCCAACCCCTCTGCTCATCCCGTTGAGCGGTCTTCTCATCAGCCTCATCCACTGTCAAAGACGCTGGTGACCTCGACATCTGGCAACAGCCTCGAGGAGCAGAACAACAGCATGCCGCCTCCCTATGTCTTTGAAAAGCCACGAGCTCCGCTCAACTTCGCCAAGTCGATGCCTTACGGCTCTTCTCGGCCACTCTTCATGCATGAGGAAAATGAGACTGTCACACCTTTCAAGGCGGCCAAGCCATGGGCGGGAGCTTTCATGTCTACAGGCCTCGTTTCAAAGGTCAACCGCAACCCCGAAGAAGACAACAAGCTCACGATGCCTGATACGCCCTGCAAGAAGCCAACCAACGGCTTTGCCACCTTTCCGCCTCCGCCTGGAAGCGCCATCAAGAAGAACAACCGTTACTCTTTTGGCGGTATGCCCTCGACTCCATTCGTGGCTCCCGGTGCCCCGTCACGCAGCACCTTTGGTGGCAATCCTGGAAAGGGTCTCGGCATCTTCCAACGGCTTGGATCGCGTCACGCACGCCGAGGAAGTGTCTTGAGTCTGGATGATGATAAGAAATTCTCCTTCGATACCAACTTCAATATCGGCCTTGGAGCTGACATCGACGCCCCTCCTACTCCTACGAAACATGGGCTCACACCGAGCAAGGGCCTCACTCCCAGCTTGAGCAACTTGAGCGAGCAGAGCATTGAAAGCCCCAGCGCCAAGAGGTCACTTCCACCTCCCATGTCAGCTGTGCGGCCGATGATCTCTAGAGAATCTACTGGTATGTATACCGCTCAGGAGCGGTCCGACGACAAGAGTGCCAGTTGCCCCCTCCCGAGTTCTCCGCTCGGTTCAACTAGCTCCCTTATCGATGGACTGTCTCCTACGCAGCGTCTTTCTTTGCCGTCTTTTGGTCGATCGAGGTCTGGAAGGGGGTTTAGTGCCCCTTCGCCATTGCGGACCCGACTTTGTACCAGCACAGCGGATTGTGACCATCAAATGGACATGTTGGCTAAGATTACTCCTCACCATATAGCTAGCCCCGTGGAACAGCGCTCCCCGAGAACTCCCTCATCTCATGTTGTTCTTCCCGACGCCAGCTGCCTGTCGATCTCGAACCCGGCCGAGTCAACGCGGAGCACGACTACCCCGGTCACCCCATCTGGGCGAGAGTCCTTCCAAAGCACTTCGACACATCTCATGACCCCCGTGAATGCCGCTCGTGGTGGTGGCGATGTCGAAGACTCACTCTATTCCCGCTTCGACAAGGTCGAGATGATTGGCAAGGGAGAGTTCTCTTCCGTCTACCGCGTGGTCAAGAACGGATACTCCCGCGCCTCGTTCCTCTCTGTTTTTAGTGGAACTCCGACGAAGAACCCCCGCGAGAGTCCCGAGCCCGATCGCATTTACGCGGTCAAGAAGGCACGCCGTCAATTCACTGGACCCAAGGATCGCCTGGCCAAGCTCAGAGAGGTGCACGCCCTCCAGGCTTTGACACACGCAGACCACGTTATCCACTATGTCGACAGCTGGGAATACAACCAATACCTTTACATCCAGACCGAATACTGCGACGAAGGTACCTTGGACAAGTTCTTGAGCAATGTTGGTCGCAAAGGCCGACTGGATGACTTCCGTATTTGGAAGGTCATCCACGACATTGGCTTGGTGAGTAAAGATTACCTTGTGTCTGTGACGACTGATGGCTGACTTTGAGATAGGGTCTTCAAAGCATTCACGAAGCTGGTTTCATTCATCTCGACCTGAAGCCGGCGAACATTCTCATCACGTTTGAGGGTATCCTCAAGATTGGTGACTTTGGCCTGGCTACTGAGTGGCCTGCTGCCAAGGGCGTCGACGCCGAGGGAGACAGAGAGTACATTGGTCCTGAAATCCTCCGCGGCGATTTCAACAAGCCTGCGGATATCTTCTCACTTGGTCTCATTCTGATTGAGATGGCTGCCAACGTCGTTCTCCCCGACAACGGCCCCACTTGGATTGCTCTTCGCTCTGGTGACTTATCCGAGGTTCCTAGCTTGACCTTCAGCGCCACCACTGCGACAAGTTCATACCGAGATGCCGCTGGTGTTCCTACTATGCAATCGCTGGATGACCCGCTCCTCGGTCAGACCAGTGCTCCGGATATCAGCCTGCATTCGGGAATCGCCCCTACTCGGGTGAATGTGGTCATGGACGACGAGAGCAGCCCTTTCATTACACGCAAGCGCACCGAGCTCAGGTCCCCTCCGGACTTCATGAGCGACCCTTTCCACCCTAGTTCACTGGACCAAATCGTCCGCTGGATGGTCAGGCCCGAGCCTGGTGAGCGACCCACCATTCAACAATTACTGACCACCACGGCGATGTCGTGGGTCGCGGAACGTCGCAGATCAGCTGCGACTGTCTTCGAAGGTGTCTGGGGACCTAGCGAGTCAACCGCCCTTCCCACCTTGGTGGACGAAGACACAGAAATGATGGACGTCTAGACACGTCCGTCACATACAGATGCCGCCTTTGTCGGCTTGGAATTTCACTCACGGCTCTCGATATGCAGAGCGCGTAGAGCTCTTGAACGCATTGTCTGGATTGATCACTCCTGGCTGGATCTCTCTTGCAGTGGATACGGCGATTTCGAATTGGAATTCTGGAAGATGGCGTTCGAAAGCGAGCTCGTGTCTCGCAGTCTGTGACGGCTATCGGAATTTACTTTATTGCGGCGGCGTACACCTTACGAAATCACGATGCTACGGTTCAGCCTTGTGGCGAGTTCAGCACTATCTGCTGTGAAGGTTATGATAGTCTTCCTCTTTGGTTGTACGCTTAGCGGCATATCACGATTTCAAACTGTTCGATTTCGCGAACGAGTTTTGGCGTCAATCCTCTCGGCATGCCTATACGTATGCACTCGCTTGCAAAGCATCGCCAGAGATATTTGTTTCGAAAAAGAAAGTTGGAAAGTCTGGCGGCCCGGTGGCGTGGCTCATCAACTGTTGAGCTTGTTCTTCTGCCATGGCTATGGCCGCCACGAGACTTTCGTGTATAGACTAGATCTGGATTCTGGGAGACGTGCCTGAGAAGGCACCGTCTCGGCAATAACCTTGGCGTCGAGTACGAAAAAACAAAAACGGGAACCAGGAAAACACCGGGCTTTAGAGAGACTCGAAACACGCGGATCCCTATGGGTCCCTGGTTCACAGCACCATAGGACAATGACGGTACCAAAAAGGCTTCGATGGGAAACGGAGGCTCCGGGCTGTATTGCGCGTGCATCGCAACATGTACATATGAGTAATTTTGTCAGAGTATCGGCTGGCGATTGGGAGAGGAGGAATGGCAACGGGCTTCTCTTTTGTTCTGTGCCTTCGAGCGCATTCATCGCCCTGGGTATGGTTGTTGTCTTTTTTACATGTTTCTTCTCTTGTGAGGAAATTCTGCATGGTAACCGTATCATACGTGTTCCCCCAAGGATCAGATAGATCATCTCCTGGCCAGACTGCGCTTGTTCCCTTTGTCATTGGGAAGGTTGCAATCTTTTTTTTTTGGCTCATGATTCCATGACGAAATGGCATGATAGTTATGAACTTTTCATTAAAAATTCACTCAAGATCCCAAATGTTGAAGTGCGAATGCCGTTTGCCTGTGTTTCAACCAACCTATACTGTTTGTGAATTATCCCATAGACGTCGCTGTGGCTGGCCCTCGGCGTACATCACAGGGTAGAAGAACCGCCACAGAAAGGCAGGTTCATTACAAGCTGACAATTTCGTTTGTGAGGATTGGCAGGTAAGATAGTTCGTCATTCATGAGAGGCTTCTTCTGTAGTTTTTTTCTACGTAAAAGCTCCAATCAAGTGTTTGGGTTTCTCCGCCTTTCCCATCCGCCTACCCAGGTATGCAAAAGTTGCAAACGCCCTAATTCTAAATGTCTCTCTACCATCGCGGACGGGAACGTGATTTTCTCCCCGCCCACCGGTTGTGCCACCCCTCCTCTCCTTTCCACCTGCGAGAAAGGTACAGGACAACTTCCTTCCCGCGGAGCTTCCGCGAAATCGCGTGGCCATTTTTGTCTTAAGCCCTAGAGCGCCCCCCCCCCCCCGAATGCCTCGCTTGGCCCCCAAGGCTTCTCCTCTCTGGGAATCACTACTGACTCTAGGATTGGAGCCAGGAATGCAACGTCTTCCACGCGATCGAGATCACGTTGCGCGTGTGGGGTCCGTCAAATGGCGCTTGCTTTGGGCGTTCGTTCCATTCCATCTATACCGTATCCCAAACTTCAGCTCTAATTCGACTCCAATACCAGTTCCTTTTGGTCCCAAAGCTTTTCGATTCAGCTTTCCCATGTCTCGTCTCACAATTCCACTCTTCAAGCCCTTGAAGTGTTTGCAGAAGCCGTAGACGTGGTCTTTGTCTTCCTCCTCGAGGGCTGATAGACATCATTGAAATTCATGGCGACACCGAGGAAACGCATGTCAACGTCCGGCTGGTACGCGAGGTCGCCCAGCAGGATCTGGAGGCGGGTGCGGAACGTGGCGCCGAGCTGGCGCAGACGGTCCTGGAGGACAGGGAACTCTGACGCGACGGCTGGGTTCTCGTCCTCGCCGTCTCCTCCCGGCATGGATTCCTTCTTCTGGTGGCGCGGCCCGCGGGTGGAGATACGCATCACATCGGCCTCCTGCCGGCGCGTAAAGTCGGACACGCTCCAGCTGTAGAGGCCGTCGACGGAGTCTCGGTAGCTGAGCATGGCGCGCAGGAGGTCACCAAGCTGAGACAGGTATGAGGTGCGGTCGTCTTCGCCAGTGGCTATATCAGCGTGTCGGACGCTACGCCGCGCGCCTAGGAGGCCCTTGTGGGTAATATCGTTGAGGTATCGAGTATGTGCTTTGATGAGGTCGTCGAGGGTACAGCCCTCGCGATGTACCCGTTTCTGAAGCTCGTTCCAGGACGACTCAATGACTTCGAATAAGATGTAGTATTGTAGTTGGCCAATGAAGTGAATCATCTCTGCAAGAATGCCGCGCGTTGATTTCCACGTTTGCACAACGACGGGGTCGGAATTTTGGAGCACCCCGCGTGAACCTGTCATACACTTGCGCCAAGTAGAGGCGAGGGCAAACTCGACACGCTTGATGCGCCATAGAAAGTTGAATACCTTGAGATATTGGCGGTTGCCCCAGTCGGTCACGACAACGTCGACCGGAGCATCGACCTTGTACTCCAGCGTAAAACAATCCCAGCCGATATCGCCATGGGATAGCTGGAGCATCCGGGCATCAAGGCGACGGAGTACTTCAGGCGAGTCATACTGCGCGTTGGACCCGCGAATAGCGTGTTCCAACTGAGCTGTTAAAGTATGTCGGTACTGTGCGCCGGCAGGACGATCGAGGTTCGCAGCGAGAGATTCCATCAGAAGAGCGATAAAGTCGCCTTGTCCCAGCAAAATGTAATTCTTCAGCGCCTGAAGATGCTCGAATAGGTGGAATTTGTTGGCCATAAGGTCTATGAGACGCTTCATGGTCGTCTTGTATGCCTCATCAATCCAGGCCTCGAGAGTTGCCGTATCGCCATAGCGCAACTCCTTCGAGGCCGCCTTGGAGTAGTCTTCGACCCACTGAGAGTCGCCGCAGCTGTGTCTGATAAAGTTGAGAGATTTGCCAATGAGGAAGACCTTTTGAGCAAAGTCTTGAGTGATAATACTTGGGACCATATCCTTGTCGATTTCGTACTTATCTTCCCATACACTGTTTCCGCCCGTCTTTGGCTCGTCCGTTTGCTTCTGTTCTTTGACAAAGAACTCGCAGAATGGGTCGAGTAGCTCGCCATCGTATATCCACCGACGCAAGATATCGTAAAAGGGGCGTGTGACATGTACGAGTAGACGTTCGGCAAACGCTGCAACCATGGGATCACCATGCGAAGAGGAGAATCCGTGCACTAGGGAGATGAGTTGTCCACCTCTTTTACTTTCTGACTCTTCGGCAATAAGGCTCATAAGACGCAGCCCCATGGTAGCTTCCCGCGTCCATACTACACATCTCTTCAATGTGACGCCTGCCTTTCCTATGCCACCTCTTGGAGCGAAATCATCCAGGGAAGACAAGGCTTTGCGGATTTGACCCTCCAGAGTAGCGACGAGGCTGAGATAAGACCGCAACTCTCCGCCTATGGCGGCTCGAATACTTTGTCTTAGCAAGCCCTGTGCGGGGGACTTGACAAAGATATCGAGACGTCGGTATAACAAAGACGGCTCTGCTACTGTGTGGAGGAGAGAGATGATCGGAGATGGTAACGTCGGGGGTAAGGTGATGGTGTCAGGTCGCGAGAAGGGTAATGTAGTCGAAGATAATCCTTGGAGAGTAAAGGGAAGATCTCGTAGGAGCACCGTCTCGGAAGGATCGATCTCAACGTAATTATCGGCCAGCAAGGTGGACTTCAAGTTCACTTGTCGCTTGTCCGTTTCAGCGCCATCTGCCTCCTTCTCTTTTTCCTTTTCTGAGTCCTTGTCTCTTTCGTCAATAGACTTGCTGTTCTTGTTGTGATTTGGGGGAAAGTTCTTCAATCCCTCTGGCGCAAAAGCATCGTCGAACTGCTCTTCTTCTTGCCTCGATATCGGTGTAGAGTTCTTGGACGACCGTTCTCGTTCATGTTTCCTAAACGGGTCGCGCTGCGTTTGTGGAGGTTTCGGTGGGACGAGGGGCAGCGGTTCGCTTGGATCGGGTGAGTCGCCGAGCTGATAGAGGAGGTAGAGAATAGCCCATTTCTGGCCCAAGACTGGTAAGGAGAGAAGACGGGTATAGAGGTTTGAGAAGCGCAGCGCTTGGCTTGGGTTGCTCTGTATGAGCTTCCGCTTGATCAGATCGGAGGCGTGGTTGACATCGGAGGAAATGGCGGGGGACGCGGGGCTAGAGGTTGACCGGTCAGCAAGATGGCATACAAGTGGTCGGACATTGCTCAAATTCGCAATTGTGTTTAAGGCTTACGCATCCAAAATTGACTTGACCAGCTCGAAACAGTTGTCATGTCTTTCCTGGGCGGCAGCATCGTCCTCATGAGGGTCGTTGGGTACCAAGTGTGCGATTAGGCTATCGACGGCACCGGCAATGCGATGCTCGCGGTTGGCGGACATGATGGCATTGCCGAACACTGGCCACCTCGAGGTTCAAAGACAAGGTGAAGCCTTCTTGGATGGGCTGCCACGGCGAGTGGAGATAAAGAGTTTAAGATCGAGGTGAAGAGCAGAACATGCGCTGGTCGTTGTCATAAATCGCATTGATTTCGTTGTTGTACTCGCAGCATTGCAGCCCGCTGAGAGAGACGCGCCGGACGCGACCTCACAGGCTCACAGTGTTGCTGATGCCAATTGCAAGCAGCCTACAGGGGCTCACGGCGTAGTGGTCAGAGCGCCTGCGGATGTATTCTGAACCCTTGCAGCCTGCCAGCTCACATACTAAATTGTGGTCCACGCTACTTCTTCCCCAGGCTCGGCCCTC